GTACGCCAGAGGTACTGGGAGTGAGCAGCTTCTCAGAGACAGAGTGGGGAACAGAACAGGCAGATGGACTGAAATACACTGCTGAGGGGAGCGGCGAGAAAGACTGGAGAGGTCTGCTGTGCCATGTGGGCCATCTCCCTGGCTGAGGATCGAACAGAGGTCATAAATGTGAGAGCGCTGAGGCTTAACCCATAGGCCATGAGGGAGGCCCAAATAACACTGTCAAAGAGGCTTTTCTTTCTCTATTGTATTGTGATGAGTCCTTTGTCAAAGACTAACTGTCCACACATGCATGGCTTAATTTCTGGGCTTCCTGTTCTATTCCATTGGTCTATATTGTGTTTTTGATTCAATACTACACTTTTGGGTCTTTCTTTTTTGTAATTTTTTTCATAATATAACATATATTATTGATTCACCAAAAAATTGTTTTTTTTTATAAAAAACACAAGCTATAACGACTTTGTTTTCTTGCTGTTGATATCAACACAATTAAGTTCCAATCAATATTTTATTGTACTTAATAGTCTAAATCACTGCTGTTGCTTGACATCTTTGTGTATATCTTGAACTTCCGTGGCCAGTGCTCAGCTATGAAGCACCTCTAGTTGTGAAGGCTGGAGGTTGTTACAGATCAGATCCTCAAGCACCTGCTCAGATTGACCTTTGTCAGTGACCCTTTATTTTCTTACATCGTTGTTCATTTTTGTGTGGTGCTTGGCTCCTCCCCTCCAGAGTATCCCTGCAGCTCTCCCACCCCACAGCCCAGTGATCCACCACAGTCCTCCTGAGTTGTCCCCTCCCAAGCTCTCTCCAACTTCCCTTGTGTCCTCCTCGCCCTTCTCCTGCCTCCCCCAACCCCTGAGCTTTCAGGATGTTTGTTGGCTTCTAGTCATTTTTGAAAGTGTTTTAAGTCGAATTGTCTGTTTTGATCACTGTTGCGGGGTAGTTTAGTTTGAAGTCAGAGTTGACACCTGTTTTCTCTCAGGATTGTTTTGGCTATGCAGGGCCTTTTCTAATGCTATACACATTTCACTTTCTCAAATAAAGTCATTGGAATGTGGATAGGCATTGTATTGAATCTGTAAGTTCCTTTAAGTAATATGGCCATTTTTTAAAAAAGATTGATTTATTCATACAGAACTGGGGTACAAGCCAGAGGTGCAGGGGTGGTGAGAGGCTTCACCAGAGACAGAGTGGGACATAGAACAGGCAGATCAACAAAGTACACTGCTGAGGGGAGCAACAGGGTGGGTCAGGAGAGGTCTGCAGTGCCAGGTGGGTCACCTCTAGGGCTGGGGATCCGTGGTCAGCTTGCATTGCGGCGTTCTAATCCATTGTGCCACCAGGCAGGGCCCTCCTAGGGTCATTTTAATGATGCTTTATCTTCCAATCCATGAGCCCAGATATCTTTCCATTTCCTCATGTCTTTTATTTCTTTTAACAGAATCTTACAGTTTTTACCATATTTGTTAAATATGATAATAAATAAGGTTTCTATCCTATTGGTTTGCTTGTAAATGGGGCTTTAAAAATCTCTTCTACTTTATTGTTTGCATATAGAACACAACTGATTTCTTTGTATTTGTATCCTGCCATTTTAACATTTTCATTTCTTTTAGTCATTTATTGGTAGACCTTTGGATTTTCTGTGTAACTAACCATGTCATCTTTAAATAATGATAGCATTGGGGGGGCCTTCCTGGGCACGTAGGGGTTAAGTCTCAGCGCTATCAGCACTGTGACCTGAATTCAGTCCCTGGCCAGGGAACTGACCCACATGGCGCAGCAGACCTCTCCTGGCCCGCCCTCAGCAGTGTATTTCAGTAGACCCCTCTGTTCTGCTCCCCACTCTGTCTCTGATAACTCCTCTCACTCCCCACACGTCTGGTCTTCTCCCCAGCTCTTCTATGCATAAATAAGTAAGCATATCTTTAAAAAAAAATGAGTGATAACATCACTTCTTTCCCAGTTTGGACTCCCTTTATGTCTCTTTCTTGTCCGGTTGCAGCAGCTAGGACTTCTGTCACTGTGTTGGATATCTCGTCCTCGTTCCTAATCTTAGTGAAAATGTGTTCAGTTTTTCACCATTGAGTATGATGTTGGCTGTGGGTTTATTGTATATGACATTTACTATGTCTAAATAAATTCTGTTTATTCCTATTTTATTGAGACTTAGGAATGGACATTGAATCTTGTCAAGTACTATTCTGTGTATTAAAATGACCGTGTGATTTTTATTTTCCTTTTGTTGATCTGGTAAAAGACATAGATTGATTTGTAGATGCTGAACCAGCTTTGCTCCCTTGGGATGAATCCTATTTGACCGTGGTGGATGATTCT